TTGAAAAAGAGCAATTTGTGTCAGAGTTCTCTCAGCCCCACCCACCTCACAGGGTGTCTGTTGTGGGGAGGGGAAGGGAAGGGAGTTTGTAAGCCGCTCTGAGACTCCAAGTGAAGGGCGGGGTATAAATCCAATCTCCTCCTCCTCCTCCTCCTCTTAAGAACATAAGAGATGCCAATGTTGGATCAGGCCAAAGGCCCATCTAGTCCAACACTCTGTCACACAGTGGCCAAAAATGCCAGGTGCCATCAGGAGGTCCACCAGTGGGGCCAGGACATTAGAAGCCCTCCCACTTTTGCCCCCCCCCGCAAGCACCAAGAAGACAGAGCATCACTCTTCTTCTTCTTCGAATACCGAGGCCAGAGGCAGGCTATCAAGCCACTTTTCTGAATGTCCTCCATGCCCCAGTAGGAGTCGCCAGAGGTCACCATGACTTCCAGGCATGGGCACACAAATGCATGCACTCACACATACATAAATGCAAAAATACCCCAAAAACGCTGCCTTAGTGGATATTTCTAGCATCTGTTCTAACTCTAGCAAACAAATATTTTATAGAACGCATGAACTTATTCTGTGTATAAAAAACACTGTACCTTCAAGAAAGGACAACTCATTGCCCAGTGTGAGGGGCTGATAGCCAGCCACAACAAGATTGCTAGCCTTCAAACCTTGGTTTTTTGTCAGTAAAAGGCAGAGGGAGGACCCTTTACAGAACTATTTTGGCCTCACAGTCCATCCCTGCTCCTCTCCCTCCTCCCCTGGAGAGAGGACTGATTGAGACCAGGCCCACAAACAATCACTGGGCGACTTGCTACCAAGCAATTTAGTTTACTCAGCCAGGTATAGTGGTGCCTTCCGGAAAACCTAATGCCACACATCTCACATGGGCCAAGCAGCAACTTTCACACAACTTGCGCAACTTGGCTTGGCCTGGCAGTATTCATGACACTTCTTTTCCCTGATAAAAATTCTCCACAGCTTCTATTCGGTCCAATAAATGGTAACAACTGTTAACTGTCCCATCTAGTACCTTCCCTTGGTACTTGAAGGCCCCGGTCACACGGGAGGTTTTGGCCCGGAAGAGGGACGGATCGGGGGCGCAGCAAACGGGCGCGATCAAACCACAACATCTGGGAAGCGGCGTGCACCCGTCCCCGATCCATCCCTTCAGCCGGAAAACCCGCTGCAAAAAAGAACCTGCAAAGGAGCAGGACTTACTGGAAACGGTGCAGCAAGTGCGGCCGTGAGATCGCCGGCACGCCCGTCTTCCAGAGCAATCGAGGCTCCCGGCTGAAATGTGCACGCGCACACATGCACAGTTCGGCTGCCTCGCTCTCCCTTCAGTGGCTTCCCCCGGCATCTGATTGTGCCAGGGAGGAACTGCGCAGCGGCTCAGGGGATCTATCTGATCCCGCCACCGCATGTGTCTTTTGGTGCGGCTCTAAAAAGCCGCACTTTGGCCGCTCTTTTTTCCCCCGTGTGCCAGGGGCCGAAGTTTTCCTATAATAGAAAATCAGCTACATTGGGGGGGGGGGGATACTGAAAGAAATGGAGCACAGTGAAATATGTCTGTGTGGATCCGAATTTTGGTTCTCTTGCATGTGTGTTCTAAAGTATTAACTCCTCCCCAACCTGCCATTTCAAATTCCCAAGAAAGGGGACAGAGTAACTTACTAATTCACACTATTGTCTGATGAATAGGGACAGTTTCTGTCATCTGAAACAGAGAATTCTTTAGGTGAGGGATCTAATCCTCAGGAATTGAATATGCATTGGATGGATGCAGAATAGTGTTCCCAACTGAAATCAACTGAAAGAAATGATTCCCTGTTATTACCACCTTTACTTCCACTATTGAAGTATCCAATAAAATGACATACCACCACACTCTGAATCCATTTTTGTACACCCTTCCTGTTCCATCTGGCGCTAAGTCAAAAGTCAACAGCGCCTGTCTGGATGTGATTCAACGCATGGCCAGAGTAAAAGTAGAATTAAATAATTTTTTATTAAGCTCCACGTGCATTCAGAAGATTTATTTACTCACAATCAAAGCTGAATAACTGATGAAATTCACATCTTTGTAATCTAATTCAGTTCACTGGCTCATGGTGAAAAAGATTGCGTGCTCCGAGCCTCCTTTGCCGTTTAAAGAGTAAACAAAGGAATGGGAAGAAAGCTGTAAACTCAAATCCCCGCGCAGGCCCGTAGCTAACAACTTTTTGCTCAGGGGGCCCATGTTTTTCTCATGGGGCCCACAATGTTCCCTCTAAGCTGTGGAGTTTTGTGAGCAAAACTTCTACTTTGTGAGCTACTGCCATTAAAGTTGTGAGTGAGCGATTTGGCTACAGCATAAATTAGTTTGCTCTGGAGCCGTCCTTCCTGAGCCAAGACAAAAAGGTGTGAGCTAGAGGCTAAAAAACTGAGCTAGCTCACACTAACTTAGCTTAGAGGGAACACTGCCTGTGAAGTAGGTGGGGCTGAGAGGGCTCTTTCCAGAACTGCCCTTTCAAGAACAGCTCTGAAAAAAACTTGTAACTGACCCAAGGTCACCCAGCAGGTACAAGTGAAGGAGAGGGGACTCAAACCCGGTTCTCCCAGATTAGAGTCCGCGCACTTAACCACTACCTCCAAACTGGCTCTCAGAGACAGAGATGGCCAGACAGAACAACACAGGTAGACAGACAGATGGACAGGCAGAGACAGATGCCAGAGAGACAGAACAACACAGGCAGGTAGACAGAAAGAAACAGCCCAGCCCAAGCAGCCAGCAGAGGGGAAGGGGCAGAGGGGCCTCCAGCCTCTCCAGGTCAGGGCAGAGGGGCTGCCGGGTGAGCAGGAGAAGGAGGAGGCAGTGATGCCATAGAGGCCCTCATCTGCTGTGGTTAAATGGCTAATAGTGAGCAAACTGAAACTAAACCCTGGAAAGACAGAAGTGATACAGGTCGGGGAGGCAGAAGTCTGGAAAGACATTATGCCCCCTGCTTTCAGCGGGGTTCAGCTAACCTTCGCCAACCACTTTTTAAGCTGTAATTGATTTATTTAGACTAAATAATAGCAACGGACACCAAGAAAAAGAGGACATCTGTTAACACAATACCTCCCCCCCCAAAAAAAACCTGTAGATGGGGGGAGGAGCACCTGCCAAAATGCCCTCCCGTGATCAGTCCTGGGACTTCTTCCTGGGCCTTTCAGCCCCCTCCTGCAAGGACCACCACGGTGGCGAACAAATCAAAACATCCACCGCAAAACCATGTTTTAAAATTACTTCTCTCTCTCTCTCTCTCTCTCTCTCTCTCTCTCTCTCTCTCTCTCTCTCTCTCTCTCACACA